AGCAACTAAGCCCAGGCACCACAACTATTCATCCTGCGCTCTAGAGATTGCGAGCTACAGTTACTGAGCCCATGTGCCACAGCTACTGAAGCCTGTGTGCCTAGAGCCCATGCTCTGCAACAAGAGAAGCCACCACAATGAGAAGCCTGTGCACCGCATTGAAGAGTAGCCCCCGCTCGCCACAACTAGAGAAAGGCTGTACACAGCAATGAAGACCCAACGCAGCAAAAATAAATACATAAATAAATTTTAAAAAATGATTTATGATTTTTTTCTTACATAGATTTTTTTTAAAGTTGTTATATCTAGCTCTCAGGAAAATGATTAATGAATAAGAATAGGGAAGGAAGCTTTTTTTTTTTTCTGTTCTCTTTGCAGAGAGCCTTCAGTTACTATCTTTCTGTATACCTCGCTATTCCAGAATTCAGTTAGGGCTTCTTAAATGGATAAGAGTAAAGACAGTGGCATGTTCTTGATTCACCTACTTAGGATGGATAATTGTCAACAACAGTAGTTGTTCCCTCTGCAGTGGGAAAAGGGAGTAAAAAAGGGGATGATCAATTATTCCAGGGTCTTCAATGTGAGTTTTTTTGAGGAGGGGTTGTATGATGACATCTCCCATCAGGAATGGGAATAAGCTTCTCTAAGGAATCTGTTTCAAACCACCCTTCATACTAATATTTCAGAATGAAATCTAACTCATGTTTCCTTTATACAAGAGGAGCAGATGTAGTAGAGCCCAGACTTTCTCTGCCCTGGAGTCACTACTTTAGTAGTGGGCCCCTCTGCAGGCTTTTAGGACTGGTGTCAACAGGAAGGAAGAAGCAGAGTCAGTAGAAAGCCCTTCCCCTGGGCTTCCCTGGTGGCGCAGTGGTTGAGAGTCCGCCTGCCGATGCAGGGGACGCGGGTTTGTGCCCCGGTCCGGGAAGATCCCACATGCCGCGGAGCGGCTAGGCCCGTGAGCCATGGCCGCTGAGCCTGCGCGTCCGGAGCCTGTGCTCCGCAATGGGAGAGGCCACAACAGTGAGAGGCCCGCATACCGCCAAAAAAAAAAAAAAAAAAAAAAAAAGCCCTGCCCCATCTGATCATCAGACAGCCTTCCTTCTGCCAAATTCAGCTCTGTTTGACAAGCTGAACATGGCAGTAGCACCCGGACTGTATCATACTGTATCCAAGAACTTGTAGAGAAGACCTAACATCGCTGCTCTTTCAGCTGTGTCCCTCATGGAGGCCTACTGCTCGCCATTTTCCTCTACCATCCACGCCGGTACTGTTCTCAAAGACTTTCTCTTGGCCAAGTGCAAGCCCTGTTGCTCCCGTTGAACATGTGCCTTACTTTATAGAAAAGTCCTAACAGTGTTTTTCTGACCATTCTAATTTCCCTGTCACTTTTTAAAGTATAGATATGTTACCAGGCAAAGCTGGTTTTTTTAACCAGTGTTTTCTTGAGTTGTATACAAGATGATTTAAAGTGGTACATGGATAAGCATATTTTGAATTTTAATATATGGGGGAAAAGTGTGTATTAGCACTTCAAACCCACGATTTCATGGTTATTACAAAAGGTGAGTCAATGGTGAAGTGGATTGAAGGAAAATATTTAATAAATAATAATACAGATGGTGTGAGGATGGCAAAAATACTTTAGACGGTACATACATGACTAAAGCTTGGGAAATACTGTTTTAAACAAATACTCAAGGCTGACACTTTTTGAAATAGTCTTCAAAATAATATCAAAATAAATTCTAAGATTGAAATGCTGTGCCATGTTGGAAGGAGACGTGTATTTAGCATAATTCTTTAACTGTAAGTTCCTGTTGAAATCAATATGTATCTTTTTTAAATAGTCCCTTTAAATTACTAAGCTTATTTTTTTTTATTGGAGTATAGTTGCTTTACAATGTTGTGTTAGTTTCTGCTGTACAATGAAGTGACTCAGCTAGATGTATACATATATCCCCTCCCGCTTGGACCTCCCTCCCACTGCCCACCCCATCCCACCCATCTAGGTCATCACAGAGCACTGAGCTGAGCTCCCTGTGCTGTACAGCAGGTTCCCACTAGCTATCTATTTTACACATGCTAATGTATATATGTCAACCCTAATATCCCTAATAATCCTTGCTAATATCATTTATATGTTTCTACTGAGTCTTTTGTTCTAAATTATGTAAGATTTTCTATCTTCCATAGGACACTTGTGAGAAAATCACTGTAAAACTTTGTTTAAATGGTTTGCTTTTCTTTTTTCCCCAATTTTTAAAATAATAGCTTTATTTAGATGTAACTCAGATACCATAAAATTCACCCTTTAAAAGTGTACAGTTCAGTGCTTTTCAGTATATTCACACAGTTGCGTAGCCATCACCACAGTTTAATTTTAGGATATTGTCATCACTCCACAAGGAATCCTTTTATCCATTAGTAGTCAGTCCCCATTTTGCCTTTCCCCAGCCCCCCGGCAACCACTAATATACTGTCTGTCTCTGCGGATATGCCTGTTTTGGACATTTCATATAAATAGAATCATATAATATTTGGCCTTTTGTGTCTTTCTTTCACTTAGCATAATTTTTTCAAGCTTCATCCATGTTTAGTATATATCAGTATGTCATTCCTTTCTATGGCTGAGTAATATTCCATTGTATGGATATACCACATTTTGTTTTTCCATTCATCACTTGATGGGCATTTGGATTGTTCTGCTGTTTTTAAACAATATTAAAAATACCTGGGGCTTTTGAAATAGTCATTGGATGACTCTGCAGGTGTGTTCTAGAGGGGATTCATGCTGTGAGTGGGAACTGGATTTCTAGTCCTTTGTGATCATAGATCCGAGGAGTCTGCATCTGTAATCTCTTTATGCTAATAAAATATATTCTCCTACGAGCTAGAGCAGTAACTTTTTCTCCATGGTAGAACATTTGTTACTAATAAACTACTTTCAGATTATTTCTTTAAGGCCAAAATATCAAAAATAGCTTCTTTTAAAGACAGTGGTTTTCAGGGACTTCCCTGGTGGTCCAGTGGTTAAGACTCTGTGCTTCTACTGCAGGGGGCACAGGTTCAATCCCTGGTTGGGGAACTAAGATCCTGCATGCCATGCGGTGTGGCTTCAAAAAGTAAAAACAAACAAAAAAACCCAGTGGTTTTCAACATTTCTAGAAGAGGAAATCTTACTTGAAAAGCTGATATTTTTCTCTATATTTTCTTTTCCAATTTCTTTATTTTTACCCTACTGAACCCTGTAACCCAGCTCTATTAATCTAGATCCTGTTTCCAGTATATGAATATATATGGACATAATAAATTCTATTACTTCTCCTAATAGAGTTTTAAAGTTTTGTTAATTTTTATCATAGCATGACAAAAATTCCTGGGTAGTTTGATAATGCTTTCATCATTGAATATTAGATATTAAGCCAGTTCTTTTTATTTTTAAAGGCTATATTAGTTGAATTATATCCACAAAAGTGTTCAATAGTTACTTATCTTGGGCCTGTGGTATGCAAAGCACTTGGTGAAATAATACCCCTTCTTTTTGAATCTGCTATGGTCAAACCTTATTTCAACTGTTGTACTGCATTGAGGACAGTGAGTGACCTCGAGTGTGACCTGGGATTTTTATGAGGGTTTTAGAAACTGTCATGTGAAAATCAGGTGAAAGAACTGATGTTGTTCCATTTTTGAAGAGATGAAGCCATTCAGAGCTTGTCTATAGGAGTCTTTTTTTCTGGAGAATGGTGGGAAGAAATTTGAGTGAAAGAAGCATATATCAACAAGGCTGGTATTCCTGGCAGCCTAGAAGTAGACCTAAAACATGAGTTTGTGTTCTAATATCCCATCCTTATTTACCTTTCCGCCATCTTCCAACCCCTAGAATGTCTAGTCCAGTGTCTCATGGTAAGAATGGTTTCTGGATAGTATGTGGCCTATTCAGGGATATATAGAATGTTATATTATTGCATCATCATTAATACATGATTTTAGCTTTAACAAATAGGATATCAACATGTAAAGTGTTGTTTGGTATTATGCAATTTTATATAGTTAACTTTTATTAGGTCAGGATTAAAATATACCTTTCACTTGGTGTGTATGTGTAAGATTTTATTACTCCTTAAAAGGCAGGGCCTGTAGCATAGTATAAATTGCAGGACCTGTGACATAGTATAAATTGCCTTGCCAGTAAGCAGTAGAATATGGTGTTTGTGAATGGTGGGAAGACTGGTGATGGTGGATAGCCATGTTTGTATGGGAATACGGGAGTAGTTTTTTACCTGTTTCAGTGTCGCCATTCTCTTTCAACTCATGGATTTAGGATCTAATGCACTTCCTGTGCTTTAAATGGACATTTTTGATCTAGACTTGGACTGTGCTTCAGGCAAAGCGTAGTTTTAAGAGTCTACGATCTGAAATCAGACCATATGAATCTAAATTTCAACTCTGCCATCTAATAACTGAATTTAAGGAAGTATCTTCACCTATCTGGGCCTCAAATTACTCATCTGTAGAAAGGATGAAAAACCTACCTCACTGGGTAGGTAGAGGTAAATAGATGCAATGATGTACTTAATACGCCTAGCCTTATAGCAAGCAGTTGTTAGATGGAGTTGCTAATTGTCGTTAATACTGCTATGCAAAGGTCAGGTGCCTTCTCAAAGATTTCTGAGTAGTCCGGAGGAGTTCTGAATTGACTGACTCCCCGTAGGCTGAAGACTCTGGTCTGCCTGATTTCTCTAAGGCATTCTAGATTCATGTTGCTAGCTTGGGACCAATATGTCCTAGGGAAGTTTTTGGGTGAGTAGTATTCTCCTGGCCTGCCATAGTCTAGATCTGTTCCCCATCTTGCTTCCTGAACCTCTGAATCGTGGAGCGTTGTGGAGTGGGAGTCCTCTGGCATTTTTCCAGAGGAGCAATGGCTGAATGTGCAGATATTCCATAGGACCACTGGAACCTCAGAGCACTGTGAAAAATTGCACCATTTTATCCTGCAGGAGAGAAGAAGTACCTTCGTCTCAGGGGAGATACAGAAAAGGGCAAGAAAAAAGGTTTTATACTGCGGGGGGGACAAGGTGGACTACATCTAAGTCTCCGTGAGTATCATAAAACTATTCAATTTTATATGATTGAGGTATCCATTCAACAAGTGTCTATTAAGCATTCATGGATACTGCTTAGCTTTGTCTAGGAGAGAGTGTGTTAGGAAACCCCTTGGGTTTCATTAATAAGACTGCTTCTCAAATCCAGGTTCGGATCTTTATACTCTTTTCCTGGTGGCAGGTTGCAGAGGCTCAAGCTGGTTTTCTCTCTTCTCAGAACTGCCTGCACCCACTCCTCTCCTGGGATTTTGTTTTTCCTAAGACTGTCTACAGATAAGCCACACTTTCCTTAGCTTTTGCCTTTCCTTGTTGCCTCTATGGTTGTCTTCAGACTCTTAGGGATTTTCTTGCTAATCCTTATGGAAAAAATAGAAAACAACTAACATATGTAGGGTTGTTTAAAGATTTGGAGATTCTACAATTACAATTACCAATTCAGTGCTGAGATAGTAACTGCTAAAATTGGAATTGGAAGACAAGATGGGCTTCTGTCTTCTTTATGCTAAGCAGGAAGACCACCAAACCAATTCTGTTCCATGTACCACTCCTCTCTCTCCTCTATGCCCACTGAAAATCCTTCCTTCCAGCACCAATGGAGATAGAATCCTGCCTGGTCTCAAGTGTGCAGTTCACATTTCCAAGGACCTCCAGATGTGATGATCTGTTTTAAAATATACCCGGGGTTTTGTTTTAATCAGGTATGATAGGATGACAGACATGGAGACAAACTGCCTTTGAAAGAAGAGTTTATTATTTACAGTTCCCAGAAGAAGGGAGCTGGCTATGCAGGGTCACACTGGAGGCACCGGGGTTGATCAGGAGGCAGGAGGAGTAAGGGGGAAGCATGGACATGAGCCTTTATTGTGGTCTCTGGGGAAAAGGCAAGGCAGGACAGAGTCAGCAGACTTAGGATTGGCTAGTTTGAATAATTTCAGAGGCTCTGGGCTACAAGGGTGGTCCCTAGTTGTCTGGTATCTTGCCTTGGGTGATTTAGGGTAGGGGAAATATTGGCTTGATGTGTGAGTTAGATAAAGGAGGTGGCTGGGGGTATGGACTCTGGATTGGCTGATTTGCATATTAGCTAGCCCTGGAAGGGGTTGTCTCTCCAGGATCAGCAAGGCCTCAAGATCTCAAGTGTTATAAAATACAGAAAATAAAAAAAAACATGACTAATATCTATCCTTTCCAGTAGAACCGTACTTATCACAGAGTGATTCCTTTGGGGACATTTCCTTATTGAATGATACAAAGAGTGGTAAAGTGTATCCCCAGAGTTTACAGTCTAACTTAGTATTGATAGATAAGGGCTGCACACATGAAACTGTGACTAGTCATGCAAGACACAACTTTATGTGCTAGGAAGATCCACACAGTGTAATGGAAGTTCAGTGAAAGGGGATATCAGAGTGTCCTAGAAACAATATAGGGCAGTAATTAAAAGGACAGTCTTTGGAGTCAGACTGCTGGGTTCATCTGGCTTCATAATTTATTAGTCGTATAACCTTCAGCAAGTTGTTTAATCCTTGTGTTCTAGTCTCCTCATCTGTAAAATTAGTTTAATGATACCTAACTCATAGAGTCATTATGAGACTAAATGAGTTAGTACATTGAAAGTACTAACTTTAGAACAAAGCCTAGCACTTAGTAAGTATTCATTAAGTGTTAGCTGATTTTAGGACTGTGGAGGAAGTTTAGTGGAATGGATAGAACTGACCTTTCCTTTAAGGAGGAGAGAGAGGAATTGTTCCTTTGTTTGGGCAGGTGATGGTATGGGGTGGTGAGTCTGTCAGATTCAGGTAAAAGAGGTTGATCTGGTAGGATGTTTGAAAAAATAGGTTGGTGAGAGCTTTGATACTAAGGAGTTTGCGTTTTTTGTTTTCTTTAAACCACAGAAATTCATTTGAGGCATGCCATTTTGTTTTATTTTATTTTTTAAAAGCGGGGACATGATGATAAATTAGTGCTTCAGGGACCTTCGTCTTGGTGGTGTGGTTTTGGAGAGAGGAGAGGCTTGGGTCAGAGTGTACAAGCTGTGAGATAGCAATAGAAACAAGCATCTTTAAAATCTTTGTGGTTTAAAAAAAATAGAGATATGTATCTTGCTCATGCTGCATGTCCATCACAGCTCAGTTGGAGGCTCTCCTTTATCATAGTCATTCAGAGACCCAGACTGATAGAATAGCCGATATCTCATATTTTGTTTGCCTTAAGAGAGGGAAAAGAACACTCTAGAGGGTCATGCACCAGCAATTAAATACGAGGCCTGCAAATGACACTCACACTTCCATTTACAACTCATTGGGTACAACTAGTCACATGGCAGTAACCAACTACAAGCGTTCCAGAAACTGTAGTTTTCTGTGTTTGAGAGGAGGGGCCAGGGAGGTAAAACTGGAAATATTCGTAAGTAGCACTAATGACTGCTCACCATACAAGGAGACGCATTTAGAAGGTTGTTGTATGATAGTTCAAGCAGGGGGTCTTAGCTTCTGAATTAGGGTTGTTGCAGTCAATGTGGAGAAGAGTTGGATGGAAGGCAATTTGAAGGAAGAAAATTTAAAGGTTGGTAATTGATTGGATAGAGTTACAAAGGAAAGAGGAGTCAGGATGAGGCAAAACTTTTGGGCCCAGTGGAAGGTGATGCTGCCATAACAGACGGAAATATGGAAGTTGTTGTCTGTTAAGGGAGTGGCAGGATGGTAGTTGGATGCCCTACAGGCCTCTAGAGCTGTGCTCCTTGAAATGTGTCCATGGCCAGTGTCTACCCACAAACTAGTTGGTCTGCAAGAAGAGAAGTGCAGAAATAAAGAGTAATAATTTAGAAACTGTTATAGTAATTTTTGTCTTTTTTTCCTATGCTGTTGTTTGTTCTGATTATGTTTATATTAAATCTAATAATTTTAAAATAGGGGCTTGTATTTTGTGTGTCTTTTTTCTTTTTTTTGTGATTTGTTTTTATTATATTTTACAAAAGTATTGACCTGTAACAGGGGAAAAAATGACTAGCCCCTTACCACAGATAGTTTGAGCAGCATTGCTTTGGAGATAGGTGACAGGGACTTAACGATCAGAGCTGTTGATAAGGTGTTGAGTCCTTTCCATAGAATGATTACTTGAGTATCTGATATGTGAGCAAAAGGAAGACTCCAGAATGGAAGAGGGCCCAGGACTGAGCCTTGGGGAACACCCAGTGTTCTGGAGTCAGAGATGTAAGAGGAAAGGTAGGCAGTACAATGTGTTAGGAATCATCGGAAGGTAGTAGTGTCAGATGCCACAGAGAGTCAAGAAAAATGAGGACTGAGGTCAAGCTAGATGTTTAAAAGTAAACTTTCAGTGAAGTGGTTTGGTCAGTTGCCAGATTTCAACAGTTATAAGAAATGTGTGATCATACAATGGAAGAGGTATAAATTACCAGTTGAAAAACTTTGATAGCAAAATGAAAGCAAAGACTAGAATGGTAGTTATTGGGCCAAGAAAGGGAAAACACATTTATGTTATCCTTGTTTCTTTCCAGCATGAAAGCCTGAGCAACTTTAAACGCTCCTGTCAGCTGAGAGGTGGGAAAGTAGATGTGCGAAGAAGGAAGGAGGTGGCAGTGGTCTGTGGCCAGGCGCAGGAGTGGAAAGCAGAAGCCATGGCAGTGAACCTGGGGGTGGAGATGAGGGTGGATTGAAGAGGAATGGTGCAGAACCCAGATAACTACTGGGAGGTGGCAAACCGAGTGTGGTCAAGGGGCAAACATGGGAACTTGCAAATCTCAGCTGACTCAGATGGGAAAATACAAGGGGGCGCTTTACTGGGGTCAAGCATTAATGCGGTGGATGTGGTCACAGTCAAGTAAGCAGGGACTCAGAAGCCCTTGTGAGAGTATCTGTGAAATGGCTCGAAATTGTGATTATGGGTTCAGCTTAGGAAATTCAACTTCTTACTCTAGTCAATGCTCAGTAAATAGGAGTATTGAATAATAATGTAATGGAAGGAGGAATGGAGTGGGGTTACTTAATCCTCAGTCATAATTAAAAGAAGAATAAAAATATGGTATAAAATGGATATAGGATAAAATTATTTAATTATATTTATAGCTAATATTTAGAAACACAGTCATTATTCTTCAAAAGTAAGAAAAGAATAAACGTGTGAAGTTAGGTGCACTAAACATTATAAAGTTTGAAAAGCACCTCAAAATTCCTACCTGTCAGAGAACTATGTTACTGATCTCTCATTTTCATTGAACTGTCTCTTCTTTTAAGTGTTAGAGTGGGACAAGAGCTGGGCAGAGATGCAGTGTCTATTGTTTGTACCGACTTCTCCCTTCCCTGACCTAATTATTCTCCCTTCACCGTCCTGAACTCAGTCCTCAGGAGTCCCCTCACCTTGGCTGTTGTCTGTGATGGGCCTTTTTTTTTGGTTTCCAAATGACATTGATACGAGGTGGCATGGCCTGGTTACTCTGTAGGATTGCCATGCACTAGAGGCCATGTATATAGTGATTAAGAACACTCTGGAGTCCAGCTGCATGAGTTCACATGTTGGTAATCTTGGGCACTTAGCCTGTCTGGGGATAATTTCCTCATCTGTAAAAGGGGATAGTAAGAATAAAAAGGATTTCAAGAGAGTAGGAGAGTGGCGGCTACATAGTAAGCACTCAATAAATAATAAATTCTTCTAAGTAGATACTCTCTAATAGATGTTTTCACTACCTTTCACTAGTTATAAGTTTTTCATAAGTGCACTTTTAAAAAAAAAACCTGACAAATCAGGTTATTTGCCCCTGGAAAGTGGAAAGTTGTCTGGATATATAAAGTCCTGTTCCTTGAGCAAGATGACAAAGGCCAAGGGAAGAGGGAAGGATAAAGGATTATAGGAGGACATGGTCAAACTTGATAGGAGAGGTGTAGCTACAACAGACAATGTTCTGATTGATTCATTCTTTGTTGTGTTCTATTGATATGTCTTTAATAGTTTTGACACAGAAAGGTTATTTTCTAATTTTA